AGAACTTAAAATTAGAATTTTCTTAGAAATTTTTTTTTTTATAAAATTTATTGAAATGAGTAATATTGTTATTGAGTATAGAAAAATTAATTTAGAATTTAACATTCTGTAGAATTTAGAATTAGAATTCTTTCAGATTAGGAAATTTTTTTGTATAAAATTTATTAAAATGTGTAATATTGACTATAAAAATAGAAAGTTTAGTATAACAGATATTTTGTAGAATTTAAAAGAAAAATTAGAATTCTGTAAATTAAAAATTTTTTTATGTAGATTTTATTATAGTGAGTGATATTGCTATTGATTATATATAATCAATTATATATAATTATATATAATTAACTTATCTTATATTTGTGTCGAGTTAATTATTTATAAAAAGTTTGGAATCGTTTATTTTGTAGAATTTTGTAGAATAAGATTAAAATTCTGTGAGATCGGAACATTTTTTTGTGAAAAATTTATTAAAATGAATAATATTATAATCATATGGAATATTAATTTTTTAAAAATTTTAGTATAATTTAAATATTCTCTAGAATCGTAGAATTGAGAAAGGAAGTCAAATTAAAATTTTATAAATTTTATTCGCATAAATAATACAGCTAATTTTTAATCAAAATTAATAAAAGATTCAATGAAATTATAAAAAATGATAATACTGTCGATTGAAAGTTTGAATTATTCATATATTTTACAGAATTCAAAAATTTATAATAATTTTTATTGTATAAAATCTGTTAAAGTAAATAAAATTATTATTAGTAATTGTAATATTAATTTCAAATTAATAACAAAATTAAAAATATATTCAAATACATAGTTGTGACTTAGAAAATTATTGTGATTTCAAACATTTTATTGCCAATATACACATTTTATGTAGGAAGAATTTTAAATTTCCAAAATATAAATACATTGGATAAACGAAATAATGTGTATAATATAATGTAACGAAAATGTTCATTTTTTCCTTTTATAATTTTTAGCAAAAAGAAACTGTCTCCAATAACGCGATACTTAAATTATTTCATTTTATTTTAGGACGAAGAAATTTGAATTAATAAATTTCGAATAATTTTTAAAGAAAATTTTCGTCCCAAATACATAATTTTACATAAATTATTATAATTGATAATATAATAAAAAGTAACAAAGGTGTCAATCAAAGACACAAAAGTTAATTAAAATTTCAAAACCCTTTCACCCCTTTGAAAAATCAATTTCATATTACCTTCTAAAAATTTTAACGCAAATTTTCAAAAAGTTTTTTTTTTAAAAAAAAATAATCTTACAACATAACTTCTTTCTTTTTCCATTCCATTATTCATTATCCAACAGTTCCAGAGATAAATATATAATTTATATATAATCATAATTTAAAATTATATGTAAAATATACTATACAATAACAAAATTTTTATACATTATTATATATAAATATATATAATATATAAATATATATTATATATTATATATATATAATATATAAATTACTATACATTATTATATATAAAATATATAAAATATTATATATATAATACTATATAATATAACTATAATACTTCTCTCTTCTAAATATAATTATATAATACTTCTCTTTTCGCCATTTTACATTCGCTTAACGTGTCTAACGTCCATTGATTTATTCAATGCCAACATGCCAACATATGTCGACGAAGATTCTACAATCCAAAGTGTCGCATAAATTGCGAGAGATGCATGAAGTAGGGTTTGCTCGAGCAGAAGTGTTTTCGCTATTTCCTTCGAAAACCTCGAAATCATTGTGGATCCGCCGCTTAAATGTGCAACGATTTAATTAACATTCGAGCCTCGTTGATTTGTTCCTCGTTCCGAATCGGTGCCAAGATCGGACGACAAGAAACTTCCACGTGGATGGCGATGCAGATGCTTAACAGACGCGAACTTCTTCGACGAAGCCTTTGTGTCTTCCCCGTAATGCATAATCTAGACGATTTAACCTCAATTTCGTTCGATTTGTTCCGGGTGATGTATCAAGGCGATTAATATTCTACGTGAAATATATTGCGCCTTGGTAACTCGAATGGCAAGGTTAACGCAATGAAACATCTTTCGAAGGTCAATTCTAGATATCGAAACCTGATTTTTAGATTTAATAGTAGAATTATTAAATCTGTAAAATGATAAAAATATATATATCTGTCAATAATTGAAATTGAAATCGACTTCATTTTTCAAGACAATAATTAAATTTTATGTAATGAAATTAAAATTGACTTGAATTCATAGCCATATCGATATCAATTTCATGTCCAATACTAAATTAGAATATCAATGTTCTTATAATCGATGCAATTAAAAAAATCGAAATAAATATAAGAAATCGAAGATCTTACTTTATTCCGAACTTAATTAATTAATAACTTGAAAAATGTATCATTTTAATGGTATTGCAAGTAAAATAATTTTATATACCGAGTATTTGAGTGATTAAAAGTATATGTGCATTTATATGATGATTAACATGTTTATAATTATATTGCAATAACTGGAGAAGAAGAGATTATAAAACAAAAAAGAGCAAAAAATTTTCTTTTAAAACATTAGAGTTATATCGAATTATATCGTTTGTACTCGAAGCAAATATTCTGAATTATTTCTATTGTTTTTCTTTTTACTGATTGATTCTTTTAATTTTCTTCTATATTTTTTATTTCGATTTATTTAATTGCATCATAATAGAACGTTGATATTCTAATTTAGTATTGGAAATGGAAATGAAATTGATATGGCTATGAATTCAAGTCAATTTTAATTTCATTACATAGATTTTTCTTTGTGTACAACGAGATAAAGATTTGAATGAGTTTGTTATAAAGATTTCTTCGAAATTTTTAAGAACAAATTTAAAAAAGAATAATCGTGGCACAATGTGGATGGACTATATAAATTTTAACAAAGTTGATTTTTGATATTTTTTGATCTACCAATCTTATCCTATAATTGATCTTAGATCGAGAGTGAACGAGAAGATGAGTTGACGAGAATTAAGGAAGAAGTAGGAGTGTTTCTGCCGAGTGTTTCAGAAAGTTGGAATAAAAGTTGCAAAGATATATTAAAGAAAGAAGTAAAAGGGCACGATAAACGAGATAATGACGATAAATGATTATGTTGCTCGAGAACCGAGAGCGCCATTAGTCAAAGCAGTTTTAGAGAAGTTTGTCAGAGAAGTTGATCAGATGAAATCTCTCTGTTAGTGTTTTGTTTGAAAACAATTGATGAATTGTCTTATTAGAGAATTTATATATGTATATTAAAATTATATATCATTCGTATGATGATAAGTTATTAGAAGAATTACGAGGAAGTGATTAATTTTTGGGAAAATTAAATTTACATATTCGTCAAGTGTAACTATTTTTTGTACAATTTCAATGTTTTTTGAAACGAGAAAATTTTCTTCAATATTCTTTATTTCGATTTATTTAATTGCATCGATCATAATAGAACGTTGATATTTTAATTTAGCATTGGAAATGGAAATGAAATTGATATCGATGTGGTTATAAATTCAAGTCAATTTTAATTTTATTACATAGGATTTAATTATTATCTTGAAAAATGAAGTTGATTTCAATTTCAATATTTTTGACAGATATATATTTTGATAGATATTTTATAGATTTAGTAGTTCTACTATTAAATCTAAAAATCAGGTTTTGATCCATCTCTAGATAAAATAAAATTCATTCCAAAAAAAAACTATGGTTATTTATATAAAATTTGAGAAATCAAAATTTATTTATTTTTTTATAAAAAAAAATTAACTTCTTTATTAACATATTTTATAAATATTCTATATTTTCTAGAATTCGAGATATCGCAATCTAGATTTCCTTAAATTTAAAAATAACTAAATTTTGAAAAATTCCAGAAATCAAAATTCTAAAATTTTTGTTAAAATTTTCTCCATGTATTATTTGCAAACATTCTAGGTCCCAGATTCGACTTTCTTAAATTTAAAAATCATATTTTAAAAATAACTACCGTCGTTGAATTTTAAAAAATTTTAGAAATTTTCAAAAATTCGTTAAAATTTTTCTTCACATATTATTGCAAGCATTCTAGATTTCGACTTCCTTAAATTTAAAAAAATCACTCTCAATCCATCATCGATGACACTTAAGCGATCAAAAATAACTAAATTTTGAAAAATTTTAGAAATTTTTTAAAAATTCGTTAAAATTTTTTTTCACGTATTATTTCAAACATTCTAAATTTCGACTTTTTTAAATTTAAAAAAATCACCAATTTCCAGCGATCTCTGGATAAAATTCGAAAATTTTCTCCAAGATCACTATTATCAATGACACTCAAGCGATCAAAAATAACTAAATTTTTAAAAATTCCAGAAATTAAAATTCTAAAATTTTTGTTCTTTACGTATTACTTTAAGCATTCTAGATTTCGACTTCCTTAAATTTAAAAAAATCACATTTCCAGCGATCTCTGGATAAAATTCAAAAATTCTCTCCAATCCAAGATCACCTCTATCGATGACACTCATGAACGATCATCGGTCTCGATCTTCGAACCCGAGAAAGGATCTATTAAAATCCCTCGATGGCCCCAGTTGGCCGAGAGATGGCGATCTTAATTCGTCCCTCGCGATTGGCCAACGATTTTTTTGGCACTGAATCTAAAATCATTCTCTCTTCCTGCGCCTCTCCTCTCCTCCCTCCCCTTCGTCCAAGAGGAAGAGAGGGCAAGGTGCATTGTGTTCTCGATGTCTCATACTCCTTCGCCACTTCGTCCTCTCTCACGATCCTCTAAACTTAGCCTCTCCATCTTTATTTTTCCTCTGTCGCATCTGTACCCTCTTCTTCCTCTTCTCGCGTTAGGGCCATGCTGATTCGCGTTCCCTATTCTCTCGTTCGTTGATGATTCCACTTTGCACTCAGTCGTGTCTAATCTCTCGAACGAGTGAGATAAATCGATCTAAAAATTGTTTCGAAGAATTTTGAAATAGAAGTTTTCGAAAGTTTTCGAAAATTTTCGAGTTCGAGAAAATTCGAGGTAAATCGGTGAGAATATCGTGGAGTCTCCTCTGTACTTTCGAAGGAATTTTTGGAAAATTTTTACTAATTACTCGAATTCAATCGTATCGATGAGGAATTCTTAAAAATTTTTGAAAATTTTAATTAAGTTAGTTAAATAAAAGTGGTATTCTTGTATTCATTTCGAAGAATTTTTCAAAATTTTTGAAAATTTCGAAACAAATAATTTTGAAGCAAATAGTATACATTATTTCGAAATATTATATTTCGTAGCAAATAAAATTTCTAAAAATTTTCAAACAAATATTTTTTACATCTATTTCGAAAGATTTCCATCCAAAAAGTTTTGAAAATTTTCAAACACCTTTCGTATTTATGTCAAAAGATTTTCCAAAATCATCAAACGGTGTAACTTCCTTCGAAGTTGTTTCAAAAAATTTTGCCTAAATTTGCCAATAAATCGCATCTGAGATACACTGGAGGTTCCTCTCTATTTGCCCAAAGGCCAGCAAAGCCGTCAAAGAGAAGCCCGCCGACGACAGTGTGACAGTGTCGCGTCGCGGAGTGAAAAAGTGACAGAGCAACCTATCTAGCTAGGTGTAACGACCTTCCACGCTCGCGTACGCGCCGGGGGAAAGCGAGCAGAGACTTGTGCCGCTTGTTGACCGAGTGTCTTCAAGCCCAGTCTGGCAGAGGGCTTCCGGTCGTGAGTATACTTCTTCCTTCTTCGTGCTTCTCCTTCTCCCTCTTCTTTTTTTGTCTTTCTCTTTCTTCCTCTAGTTTTTGCTGCTTCCACTTTGTTGTTGTCACCTCCTTTTTACGCGACTTTTCTCTTCGCTTCTTCTCCATATTTCCATCTCCCTCCCCTTCCTCTCTTAATTTCTCGCCACTTGAGAAAATGAGGGGGGAGGAAGCGGTTCCTTCGAAATTATTGTGATAAGTGTTTTTAACGTTGGTTGAGAATATTATAGTAATAGTTATGTAATTAGTGTTTAATTGAAGCTAGTGTTAGATAGATTTAAAAGAAGAAGTAGAATATTTTATTTACTGTCCAATAAAATATTTTTATCTATTTTTATCTTAATGCATAATGTGAGATTTAAGAAAAAAAAAAGTAAATAAATGTATTTAGTTAGCAAATAAATTGTGAAGTGTACAGATATTTGTTGATGCATGATAACTATATTAGATAAATTTAAGAAAAGAAGTAAATGGAGGAATTATTTTCAGATAAATCAATTAAAGTATATACACGATTATATCGATATATAATATATATATACTAGATATTAAACTTATATTTATGAAGAAAAAAAAAAGAAATTGAACTTAAATAAAAATTCTTCGAAGCATATTATACGTTTAATATTTTTTGTAAATTCGTAATATTTTTGCACATTTAAAAATATTGCATAACTGTATAAATAAGGCAATTTAATCGATGTATTCATAAAAATCGTAATCCCTATCATCACATCGAATCAAATCGTCTTGGCAAAACAACTTGCCAGTTTCGAAAAACTATTAGGATAGTCCTAGCTGAAACATCCGCAATGACGATCGCAAAGGCGAACCAAGACCGCGGAGAAGAACGTAAGAGGAACGATAAATATTGCGAGGGCGTTACTGAAGAATTTACGGGGACGTAAGAAATCAAGGTGAAAGGAGGCGATAAGGAGAGAGGAGGGGAGGCATTGGAAGAGTGAAAAGGCTTTCCAACAGCAGAGGCAGCAGCCGTCTTGAAGACACTCGGTCAACAAGAGGCGCGAGCCTAAGCCTTCCCTTCTTTTGACGACCGTGTCGCTGAGGACGATACTTTAAACTGCCACCAAGTCTCGCTTTTTACTATCACTTTCCAGACACTGTTCCGATATTATCCTCTTGTTTAGAAGAGTGAAATTTAATAGAGAATTATAAATGAAAAATGTAAAATTTGGGATTTTTTGGATGAGCATTGAATGAGTTGTATTGGGAAATTTTTGAGATTATGGAAGAAGAAAAGAGGAATTTGGAATTTTTATTTAATATAACATTAATGATATAAAGTTTTATATAACATTAATGATTGAAAGAATTCTAAAAAGGAAGAAATATAGAATTTGAATATAGAATTCTTGAATGACTTAATAAGTTAATAAATTATATTGTAAAAAATGTAAAATTTGAATATAAAATTCTTGGTTGATTATTGATGATTATTAAATAAACGAGTTACGTATGAAATTTGACATTGATTAGTAAGAAGAATCGTAAAATATATAAAAGTTAAATACGTATTGATATTGAATTGATAGTTATTTGAAAAATAAATTAAACAATCTTTTAATTCAACTCTTATAATCAAAATTTTTCTATGAGTAATTTTTAAATTTTGTTGCTTTGTCAATTTAATTTGGGGGTTTTGAATTAGGATTGAAAATTAGTATAACATTTTATATTATATATCAATAATCTGAAAATTTGGAATCATTTTTAATTGTAATTATATATTTTTAATTAAAATTATATAAGGATAAATTTATTCTCAATTTCCTGAATTTAATTTATATTTTTGTGTTAATTAGTATCAAGATATAAAATTAGTATCAAAAGTTTTTAACACTTTTTTAAATGTAATTATATTATAATATAATTAAAAAAATAAATACTATACAAATGAACAGTCATCTCATCTTTTCGATCTAAGTATTTTTATGTTAAATTAATATTAAAATGAAAAATTATAAATTATATATATAGTAAATAAAATATAAATTATATATATAGTATGATAAAAAATGAAATCAATTATTTATTAGTACTTTGTTTTTTCAACTTAATTTATATCTTTGTCAAATTAATATTAAAATAGAAAATTATTATAATAAAAAATTTGAAATTTTTATTTATTTTTTTAACTGTATCTATTTAGAATCTTCTGCTAACATTGATTAAAAATTATTTTTATACAAATCTATAATAATAATAATTCCATCTGTTGTTATCAATTACTTTGTTATCAGTTACAATTAAAAATTTATATTATAAAGATTTATAATAATCTTATTTACATTAATAGAACTTTCATCAAAAAAATTTTTTAAATTCTAATTCTAATTCTTTGTTTGAATTTTTGAATTCAAATAATACATTAACTATTGAATAATCTTATATACCAAATGTCCAATTTTATATGGATAAAATTATTCTTTGATATCTTATGTATACGAACTTGAACATATATGTATTATTTATAATATCTACAAATTTTTATTTTTTTTACATATTTTTTATAAGTTTAGATTTTGTAAGATGTACTTTTACAAACACTGTTAAAATTGAAACTCTACGTTTATTATAAATATGTTATAAGTTCATATTATAACACATGAGTAATTCGAGGGGTTTGTTTTCCCTTGGGCTTAATCCCTCTGTTGACCTACATCATCACCTTGCTAACCCTTCAGGTATCAAGGGATCTATGATCCTGTGATGACTATTTAGGTTGTAAACTATCAATTATGATTTATTATAAATTGCAATTAATTGCAAGCAATTATTATTTAAAATCTATCTCATTAAGATAATTGATATTTTAATTTACTTTTACTTTGACTTTAATAAAAACTGCAGAAGATGTAATGTTGTAAGGGATATCAACTTACAATATATCAAATATTTTTTGAAACTAAGACAAAAACTGATCAACTCTAATAATAATTTATTATATATTTATTCATATGTTAAAATTAGAAATTTTTAAAAAATGGAAGTTAATCAAATTGTAGCTCTTGATCTTTTTATTCTCTTTTTATTCTGATTTCTATTTCTAAATCACTCTAATTTTGATGTATATACTTGTATCATTGGTTACGTAAATGTTTCTAAATCGATCTCATTTTAACAATTATTTACATGCCAATTGGCAATTAATTTATTTATCTCACACATTTAATCACTATTTTTCATATTAAAATTATCCTCAACAAGGTCTTTTTTAATAGATTGTTAATTACATCTACTGTATTATACATCTTTCTTTTTTAAAAGCAAACTTTCATACAATTAACAATTTACAATTAATACAAACTGATTGAAATAAGAGAAATCTAATTTTGGTAATCAAATATATAAATATAAACTATTTTGAATATATGTACATTCAAATTTGACAATTTTTATATCAATATTTTTCTTAATAAAGCAATAACAATTTTTGATCAATTGAACACATTTCATACGGTAAATCTTTCCTTTCTATTCTATATAATTTAATACAATTTAATACAAGAAGATTGAAATAGGAGAACCACTCTAATTTTGTCGACCTGTTTACACGCACCAGATTTGGTTGCACATTCAAACGTGACAGTTCCAATGTTAAATACGTTCTCAACGAGGCCTCCTTCGGTGGACAGCTTTTTCGATTCGCTGATCAACACCACATTTTGGCAAATTCACCGAGCCAGGTGAACAACGTTCTTGGCAATCCGACTTGAAGCTGCGTCGAGACAATTTGATTGGTCGGGCAAACATGCGTGTGTACACGCAACAACAGTGACCTGTTTCTGACATCTATTTCACATGGCATTATTGATGTCGTTTACGCGAAAACAGCGCTATACAGCGTGTTAAAATATTCGTAATAGATATCGAGAGTGGACAAAAATTGGACAAATTTTTCTTGCACAAAGAAAATCGTAAAAGATGATCGCATGGAATGGATGGAATTGAATTTTCTATGGAATATTTGAAATATGGAATATATGAAATATTTGAAATATCGTTGATTGTAAGTTATAACAAATGGAACAGAAGTGGAGTAGACTTCAATAAAGCTCGTTTATATTTATTTCAAATACAATCGCAAAAAGAAAATGATATTTTATATTATCGATATATCAAAAGATAATCACAATTTAAGCTTGCATTAAATTCGAAGCTTTATCTCTTAAATTAATGAATAAATCTCAACCAATATTTATATTTATTTCGTAGTTAATAAATGTAGTTTCAAAATAATAATAAATATTACACTCCATAACAATTTTATAAAATCCTGTTTTAACTCCTTTGCTATCAAAAATAACTCATCTCCTTGTAAATATTTCCTCCACATCTTATTAATTGACTTTTATTCAATATATAAGTCAATGAATTTATCAACAATTTCATTGATTCTATTTATTTATTTTTTTTCTTTTGCATATGTTTGGTGAATAAATATTATGAATATATCAAAGGATTAATAAACTCGGACAATCCTCACACACCACGAATCGTTCCATTCCACTGTTTTTGTATCAGCTCTCAGGTTAACAGGATTTCGATATAATACAGAATTGAATTAATCGTGTTGTAAGGCGTATTAACACTTTGTATGTGAACAAAGGTACAGCTGTTGGAGGAAGGCGCGAGAACTAGTCGTCGTGTTGTTAGCTTGTCGCTCGATCGTATTGTGAACTCGGTTTCAAAGGAGCTGCTTGTTTGCACGCAGTTCCATTTCTTTCTCTTTATATGAAACTATTCTATGTAAACTTTGACTAAGCTTTTTCTTTACTTTTCTTCTTCTTTTTTTTTTTTTTTGGAAATGGAGTGTATTTTATTTAATTGTGAGAATACAAAGATGGAATGTTATATCGTTTTAAGATAAAGGGTTAATGTTTCATTGCCAATTGTATTATTAATCCAATTATTTGTACAAACTTATTGCGATTATATAATAAA